GTGTGTGTGTGTGTGTGTGTGTGTGTGTGTGTGTGTGTGTGTGTGTGGATTAGTAAAAGAGAAGGGAAAGGAACAAAACAAAATGAAATAAAACAAAAGATTAAGATCCTCTGCGCCGCGCGTGAGTACGGAAGATTGCTCTCTCAGCCAGGGGAGCAAGAACCGCGACTCTTTGTCTCAGCCGGCGGTTCTGACCTCCTGAACTGATGAGAAGCAACTTCGACCTCACTGCGGATGTCTCGACACGAATCACGGTAGCATGGAATACACGCTAACTTCTACACAACACTAGCAATTTCAGGGATCGCCAGTGTCGGTGATCATAAAGCATATACCACGTTATCAAAATGAACAGTACTTTAAGCACACAAACAAGATAAAATAAACACAAATGAACTCTCTCTAACTCTGCCCAGACTCTATTTCGCCTTACGGTACGATGCAATCGTGGTGATTGAGGGGGGGGTTCTTCTGAGGGGTTCTTCTGAGCTTCGTTGGGCCCAGGCAGCGCGGCTGCGGGCCGCGGGAGGTGTTCTCTCGGTAGGAGAGAATCGCTTCGTCTGGATCAGGGATTTTCGCGTCCTTATGGCCGGAGCAAACGAGGCGCTTGGTGGAGAGTGGAAGTTCTCTCTCTCTCTCTGAAGAAGTCTTGCTTCTTCACTTCTGCAGGAATAAAAGGGTTCGCTTCGTGGATACGAACAAAGATAAAATAGACAGTTCGGTGAATTCGGCCAGCGAATATAAACTGTTAGACCTAGGATTTGGTTGAAAAGGGAAACAACGTTGGTGTGCTCCCTAGCTCGACGGAGGTCGAAGGGGAAAAGCATTGAGGTGGGGGTTGCAGGTAGTTCTGTAGAACAGTGGCTGAACCACAGGGGTCCTGGGGTGTCTTGGCCCTCGGCCAATTAGATTGCAGCGCTGCTTTCAGGTACCTTCAGGGAAGCATCGTTTTTTGGGGAGCAAGATCGTCTTACCGGAGGTCCCGCCTCGGCATCCCTGCTCTCGTCCAATGAGAGCAGCGTGGCATTTCGGGGAGGAAACTCACACCCTAATGTGAATTTCTTCAAAGTTGGGGGTTTGGTGCTCAAACTACAATCAGGATGAAACCTTTGCTTGCAAAAGGGAAGGCCTGACTCTCTCTCTCTTTGTTCCACAGCACATGTCGAAGCCATATAGTCGGATCCCAACAATGGTGATCTATTAAGTTGGAACAAGAGCCCGATCGTTGGAGTATGGCTCTGCATTAATGTGTCCGCTGATGAGTTGAAGCCCAGAGACGCACTACAATTCATGCCCCGTCGTTCATCCCCTTTTCACCCATTTTTCTGATCCCTGTTGATGGGGCCAATTTAACAACAAGCGTAATCTACATTTCTATTAGCTAATTTCAGAATTAATGAAACATGTTCAAGTACTAAATTGGTCCCCTCATAAGGGGGTAAGTGCACACATGGTAAATCATGATTGGTGGTCACTTTACTCTCACATATATTCAAATATTTAGACTATCTAAATGCAAGAAATGCAAGAGTTGTCACTCTTGACATTGAGGTAATAGAATTGGAATGGATTTTATGATTACCGGTGATGGGAAAGTGGCTGAAGAATTAATGGTTGATATATACAATAAATTAACTCTAATCATGGACTCGTGAGTCTTCTGTGTGAAGCATGAACCATGCCTGTCTCTGTGTTTAAATTGAGGACTATAGACATGCCCTTGGCAGGCAGGCAGGTTGCCGCAGTACTCTTGCTGTTATAAGTTATGTGTCTGAATAGGGAAGAGCGGTCACTGTTTATGAGCATGGCGACCTTCATCCAGTCACCTTGGCTATTTTCATGTCTAGAAATGTCAAAGACAAAGACTTCGCACCACGGCGATGATTTGAGGACTCAAAGGTTCTGGTTTGGTGAATCTAGGGTGAAAGGTTTCATCCTTATGTTGGCTTAAAAAAAACCTAGCTGAGCAAAAAAAAAAAAAAGAGGCGCAGACAGCACAGGAAATAAGTGCTGCTGAAGAACAAGAGGAGGAACAAGCTGGCCTTTTGTCATGTTAGCAGCAGGCTGATAATAGAAAGATCCGGGTGCTTTCCACGGTCCATGAAGAAAACTGACCGTGATCTTAATGTGACTTGGTTGACTCGGTTAACTAGTCACTGGGGGCAGTATAGCGTATGTTGCACTGTAAATAATTTTAGATGTTGGTCTAATTGTTTTACAACTGTAATAATGCAATAATTACACGACAGCTCTTCAGTCTCAGTTGTCTTGGCTGTATCCATTTTGCTTTTGGGCTGTCTGTTTCCTCTCAAACTATCCCATATGAATAAACTAAAGACAAAGGTGCAAACAGTAATTATCAGTAATGGTTGGTTACATTTCTCTTTTTACCAGGTGACATGGAGGTATTTTCAAGGACAAAGGTGTGAGGTAAAATGTTTATGCCTTTATTTACTATGCTGTTTATTCCCCCCCCCCCCCTGTAGACAGAATGTCTTCCAGGGAGCGTCGGTCCGACGTCTACATAAAGGCAGAACCGAGCAGTCCAGAGGGAGGTGGGGGAGGCCGGATCAGCCCCGGCGGGGCCTCCTCAGACTCCTCTCACAGTGGAGGCGGAGGAACCAGAGGAGACGGCGTTAAGCGGTACTCCCCGCCGCTCTACACGCCGGCACTGCGTTGCCACTTCAAAGACGAGGGCGGCGATGGAGCGGAGGAGGGCTCCACCGGAAATGGAGCAGGGCGATGCAAGTACGCCCTGAGCACGTTGCCGAAGAGGCTGTGTTTAGTATGCGGGGACGTGGCCTCTGGGTACCACTACGGCGTGGCGTCATGCGAGGCCTGCAAAGCGTTCTTCAAGAGAACCATCCAAGGTGTGTGTCGTGGTGAGGTTTACCTGTTGGCATAACAGAACAAGCAATGAACAATTCATGTTTCCTCTGACTTACCTTTTGTACTGTAACGAGGTGACAGGTTTTACATTCGGAGCACTTAAATCATGTTAAATGTGAGGTCTGTTCTGTGACACTCACTGCTATTAACCTCCACCCAGGGTCGTAGCACTACGTTCTGGACCCTGTATGTAGGCATTCTCTAAGGGCCCCTTTCTGCCTCCATAGCTATTCATTCTATTTGTGGGCCCTCCACACACGTGGGCCCACAAATTCCTTTCCAGTATTCCAGGAAATGCTTTCATTTAGCTTTCAACCATAAGAGCACTGTCAGTTAAACTAGTTAAAACTATTAAGGTAGCATAAATAGTTCAGGTACTGATAATGTATTTTATTTTATCACAGTCGATATAAAGTTTCTCTCATTTAAAAAAAATATCTTACTTGTATTTGTGACCTCATACATATTGTAGAGAAACAGGATTATTTAATCATTTTCTTCGCTGTAAATTGACGCTTTTCCGTTCTTCCATAAAGGTAACATTGAGTACAGCTGTCCGGCATCGAATGAGTGTGAGATAACCAAGAGGCGCAGAAAGGCTTGTCAAGCATGCCGCTTCACCAAGTGCCTCAAAGTAGGCATGCTGAAAGAGGGTGAGTGCTCACGGTCTGCAGAAGCTCTGGAGCCACTCTTTGCTGTTATGTCTTTTTACGGGTCTACTTCAAATGTGTCATCTGTTTGTTCTGTGTTTTCCCGATGCAGGCGTTCGTCTTGACAGGGTCAGAGGTGGAAGGCAGAAGTACAAAAGACGCCCAGAAGTGGAGAATGCAACATACCAGAGTGCCCCTCTACCACTGACAAAGGAGAGTGAAAAAGGTGTTGTTTATGTTCCCTTCTTGTCATTCGTGTTTTGTTCTACAACCGGCAGCATAGCGTAATACAATTTGTAAAACAATGAGATGAAAAGTAACTGCTTTTATCAACTGTCCGTTGACTGCGTGCTGGCAAGCTGCTTGTAGCTACCAACTGAAGCAATGTCCAGGCAATTAACAACCCGGTAATCACACACAAACCAATCTAAGCTTGGGGTTGTCGGCAACAGTTCAGTTGGGACGACCCTGCTGAGCTCTGATTCAGAAGTAGAGAGAGAGAGAGAGAGAGAGAGAGAGAGAGAGAGAGAGAGAGAGA